ATGGCTGTTTTATGCAACGCCAACAATACGATACGTCTACGGTAGGAATTAAATACATATCCAGAATCTACACGCCCAAGAAGAAGGATATGACAGGTTCAAAGGAATGCAGGCTAGTCCCTGAGGTGAATACCTTGATGCTCCATCATTTGAGTGACACATATGACAAAGGGTAGCGTTGCCGTATGATAAGAGGAACTGAATGGTCCACTGCACCCTTAAAAGACTCATATGAGGATAAAGATTCTTGATGTAATAATCGTCATCAGGGGCTGAACAGCCTTGAAATATGTAAAGAGTTTTGTACTGTCACAAAGCATCATGTCTTCGCAGTCTTCTGTTGAAGGGATGCTAGCGATCTTCCTTTGTCTCTCCAAATGTTTAGATATCATCATATCTACAGGCATTTTCATTCCTTGTGTTCTCACATCCAGTAAATAATGTCTGCGATAGGTAGGTAGGTAGGTAAATGAGGGAAGACGGGGACACCTTGTGACTACCAGTTTTAAGTAGGTATATGTCCCTCATTCTCCACTACCTAGAGGCAGTGCTTCCCTTAGAGCATTTAACGATACCCCATCGGGAATTAACTCAGAAATGACGATTACACTTAAACTCTGACAGGTAAATGCCAAAGGCATACAAAGCGAACAGACCGCCCGCGTGCAGTCTCGTTGGTGATACGTATGATACTGTGTAGTACATATGATATTGTGTAATAGTGTCTTTCATATGTCATGGGATTTTACCTACTGTATATCATCGACTCTTTTCGGCTGCTAAACAACATACTGTAGTGGTTGCTTTTGGACGACCAATATTATACCTTCTGTTAATTAAATGGAAGAGAAAAATGCTAATGTAAAATTTTAAACGAGTCGAAAAGCAAGCTTAGATTACAATTATCTTTCCTTTTTTCTTAAACTTCAGAAAGTTATTCTCACCGTTCGAAATGCCACCTAAGCTAGTTACTTAATGCCATAATCTATTGTGAAATGTTCGGCCACTCAAGTAACACCTCATCCTTCTTTTAATTTCTAAATTATTTGACCTCGGGTAAGGTCATTCAGATACTGTCTAAAGAAGTGTCTCCTGACATTGCAACTGCAACTTGATATCGTTCAGTACGATGTACACTGTACCATAGCTTGCTCTGGAACGCTGATTGCTTTGTATCCACTTTATAGCCACATTCATGCTTTATATCCATCCTATACGCCTAGAATTCCTCATGGGTACTCTTGCCAGACGCCAAGCTTTGACTGGGACAGTCCCGGTTTTCAGACAAAATCCTGGTGTACCGGCCGGTTCACTTCACGTCCCGGTAAAAATTAAATTTGATTTTAGATGTCTAAAAGTAACTAACTGTGAATGATTATTTAGGATAATTACTTTGGCATTTATTTTTGTACTGTATGAAAAGTGAAAACTATAGAAGAGCGACGGTCTGCTATAAAATATTTTCATCGTATCGTCTTGTCTCGGCCAATCGTGACCATGCGCGATGCGAGAGTCTCTCCGGGCGAGTCCACTATTGGGTACTAAGGGATGTAGATTCAGAGGCAGAAGAGATTTTGCTGCACGCTACACCCCCTCGTGTGCAATAACATTGGACTCGCCCACCTCGGCGCTAGCTTCTTACTATAGAGATAATTGTCAGTGTGCTAGTCTGTTTTATTTATGTTCTAAGTTAAAGTTTATACGTTTTCTGTTAAAATGCCAAAACGGTAGTGTAAATTCGTAGATTTTTTTCGGGGGGGAAGAAGGCATGCACTGTTAATCAAGACGATAGAGTTAAATGTTCACATTGTAATTCTAAGTTTTTGGTTGCTCACGGTGGTCAATCCGATATAAAAGATAATTTGCAGTCGAATAAACACAAAAACAGTTTAGCATGTGCTGCTAGTTCATCAAAACTGTCCCTTTTTTTTAAGACTGCGAGCTTTAATGACAAAGACTTAGCAGCGAAAGAGGCGACCTTTGCTTGCCACACAGCAAACCATAGCCTAAGTTTCAATTCGAATTCTTGTTCGTCAAAACTAATTTCTAAGTTTTGAGAACCTAAATTATCACTGGGAAAAACTGTGAGGCAATTGTTTTAAATGTCTTAGCTCCTTTAGCTCTAGCAGAGCTTAAAGAAGACTTGACCAAGTCAAACTACGTATCTGTAAGTATAGATGCATCAAACAGAAAGGATATAAAACTTGTGCCAATTATTGTGCTCTGCTTTAGTCCTAATTCAAGTGTGCAAGTAAAGCTGTTAGGTTTGAAATCTGTGGAGGGTGAAACATCTAAAATTCTGACAAATCACTTATTGTCTCTCCTGTTGCAAAATGACTTATTTGAACAACAAGTAGTTGGCTTTTGTGGAGATAACTTCAACACTAACTTTGGTGGTGTGAAAAGAGCAGAAAAGAACAATGTTTTCCATCGACTGAAGAATAGCCTCGGACGGGAAATCAATGGAATGGGATATGGAGCACACATTTTTCACAACTGTGTGCAAACTGCAGTAGATAGTCTCTCAATCGATACTCAGGACTTACTGGTTGAAGATTTATAAATACTTCCACATACACACAGTCCATGTAACTTAACTAAAGGAATTTTGTGAATATGCCGAGATACAGTACCGTGAACTTATTTAACACGGAAATACCCGGTTTCTATCAATCATACCCGCGCTGGAAAGAATTGTATAGATTTTTTGAATGTCTGAAAGCGTGTTTTTTAGACAAAGATATGTGCCCATCAGCAGTAAAATCTTGTTTACTGATTTAACGAGCGCCACGGAGAGCTGTTTAACAGGGCCACCCTGTTAAGGGAAAAAGATAACAGCTTTTGAGGTTTCTGAAGCTCATGAAGCTCTCAAAAGAAACCCGACAGAAGGAAAGGCTTCAATTATTATCCCTATGGGCGCGGAGAACATCTCCAGGAATCTAGATGAGCAAATCCGTAACAGTGTGAAAGAATTTGATGGCTTTTATGAAAGATGCATTGCATATTTGGACCTCTGGGAGAATAGTGTTGGAAACGCTAAACAGTTTTCATGGGTCAATCTAACTAAAACAAATGCTGTTGATTCGGAAAACGCCGAAACTTCTGCTGAAATTATTAATAGCAGCCTTCTTGATGTACCCGATATGAAAATAAAGAATGATCAGCTGTTTGGCGAAGTTGTGTTTGCTAAAGAGTATTTGCAGTCAAATTGGGAAGAGGGGCAGCAAGAAGAGACTACCAGAGATGTGATTATTTTAAGTGAAGAAAAATGGCTCTGGCTGTTTGGTCAATTCAATAAGGAGAATCACATAGCAGCCTCCATTCTGATCACGATTGTTGAGTATTCTGCTTACCTGGGACATCAGCACTAGTTGAGAGAGTATTTTCATTAATGAACAACGCTTGAACTGATGATAGGGGTTTGTGAAGGAATCTGCGGTTAAAAGCTTGATGACATATAAAATTAATACCGGATTAGTTTGCAAAGCTTTTTGCAAGAAGATTAAAACCAAAAAAGACTTTCTAAAAAAAGTCCTAGCCAATGAAAAGTACACGTAAATATCGTTCAAATTTTTATTCCTCATTCAAACTGTTTCTTCTTACTTAAGTAACTTTTAATTATTAACATATAAGAAATTTAAATTTATATTCTTGTGTCATTTATTATTACCCCTAGTTTAAGTTCCTAATCAGTAACCATTTATTCATAGCATTGAGAATAAACTACCCTCTAAATCGATCTAAAAACTCGCCAAGGGTGTGTACCCTTGAATACCCGCGACCCTTAAGGGCATTCCGGTGTCCCGGTTCAACATTTCAGAAATCTGGCAATCCTACGAATGGCGCATATATGCGCTTAGGTCAGTATATAGACTATGGGTATATCCCGATTGGTATTTCTGCCGATTTATTAGATTGCAGTATAATTAATTTCTGCATAAACGTAATACGTTGTCGAATGATTTTTTATTCCGTCCAGCGTTTACGATAAAAGTGCCAAAATTAAAGGGGATAAATAAAAGCATTTATTAATATTTCGACTTCACAATTGGATAAATTGAACCTTTTATAGAAAGAAAATTTCGGCTGCCTGCGTTCTTATAACCACACGTACAAGTTGAATTAAATGCGAAGCAAGACATTACAAATTTTATCTAAACCTCTGTTCACCGTCGTGTAGGTAATGCTACGCTAGGTATTTTATGTTGTAAACATGCTGTGCTAAAATGCAGCGGGTCCCGGACTATACCCGATTAGTTTTTGAAAGCCGTCTGGGTGTCCGGCCCTGCTGTCACCTGTGACTAAACTCTCGCAGAAATTTGTGCCTGCAAGCTAAATTTTAAAGGTTGAAAATCTAAAGCTCAGTTATGGCTGGCCCACGTTTCCTGATAATTTGAAAATGTTAACAACTAAAAGCTTATTTATCCAATGAACTAATTTGCATTCAGGTGGAAGTCGGTGAAACTAGTAGTCATAGAAAGTGAAAAATTATAAAATATCTGTGTTTTGTATTAGCTGACAAATGCTTGGCGCCAGAGCGGAATCTTGGCTAATGGCGCATGCGCCGCCGGAATTGGCGTTGAAATGTATTATGTGAGAAACTTGATTTTTGTGGTACATTGGAAGTTGCGATTCATATGTTACACTGTAAGGTGAAACCTAGCGCCAGAGAGTCGCTATGGAAAATAAATGTATTGAAACTGTGTAATGTGTGTGGTGTTATTATGATATATAGCTATCGACGGGAGAATAAGTCAATACAATCTGCGTTAATTAAAATAAAATCTTGTAGATTTTGCTTACTTTTATGTTAATATTTACAATTTATTTTTAATAACTACTAGTAACTAATTCTTGAAACCTTTGAGACTGGGATTCAATCCTAAAATAGTGCAGTCTTTCTTATTCTGTATTTATTTCTAAAACTTTGACCAAAAATTAGTAATTTTTGCGTACGTTTCTGTTTCATTACTTATTTAAACGTAACATAACATTGTTACCTTTAGGAATGAGAGATATTAGAAGCAGGCATAGACCTGAAAATAGGTTTCCTATCAAAAGGGCTTTCCGATTTCCAATAGCCCTACTAATGAAGAGAAAAATTAATCCCGACGGCACCTCCACTGCTCCAGAAATGAAGAAAGTGATGTAAGGATTGCCTCCCAAATCGTTCGTGTTCCATGAAAGAGCGTAGTAGATGTAACCTATGATAAACCTGGAAATAAAATAAGATAAAAAAAACTGACAACATGAGTTCTTATCGGAATTGTACTTTTAATATATTACGAGAATAATGCAATCCGAGATAATGTGTGACTTAATTTGACTTACTTTACCTGTACTGTACTTTATGGCTTATGCTATGATTTAAGTGCACACTATCTGTATTGTACAGTATGTATGCATTATACGTATCGCTAGACTCAGGTTAAAGCCAGCTCTTTTCCCCATCCTCAGCTCTCCCAGATGGCATTTTCACGCCTTTATTGAAACTCGGCGCACACTTTATTTCTGCTAGAATATTTTATTATACTATTACTCAAAAATATGGTCATAATTTATAAAACAAAATTATTATATCTTATATTAGTTACTCATGACAGCATTCGAAACAACCTACCTGTTCGACAAGAAGTATGGTCCTTGATCTAGGCACCCTGGTGTTACACTGCTTCTAAGTGCGACCGACACTGTGTGATTGCGCCTTTTACTGATGAAGGTAGTACAAGGTGATTATAATTGAAGTAAATCTACTCGAGCATATAGAGAAATCCTTCTGCTTGACGTACTTCGTTGAAACTTGGTTTATATGTTATATGGGCCTTTCGAAAAAGAAAATTGTAATAAAAGTCAATAATTCAAATTTCGATAATTAGATAGAGCTTTTCATGCAGTACAGGACGGGACAGGACTAAGTGTGGGAAGCACCAACACATCCCCATTGACAGAAATGGTGTCGCTCCTTCACACTAACCGTCTTGAGAAGAACACCTCCACAGGGCGTACTTACGCCATGCATTGGTTTCATGCAGTACAGCAAAACAAGCGTTATGCAAATTAGGAAATCTTTATAGTTCCAGTAGTCAACTAGTATTACTGATTCAAGTTGTTTTATCAGAAGCGCAGTAATAGTTTAGCTGCATTTTCAGAATGTCAGTGTTTGGAAAGTTTGCGAAAAGGGCTTGCAGAAGAATGTTTTGAAAGTGGTGAGTACCAAATTTGAAGAAGTGGGCAATTTTAAAGGAGGATGATAGAAACACATTTCAAATGAATCTGTTGAAGAAGTCAATGTTACTACTGTAGACAAAGCATCCTGTTTCCAGTGTTCTTCGAAAAGAACAATATAAAGTGATTTTTCTGTAGTTTGGTCTACAGTACAAATATTCTGCGATCCCTTTTAAAGTGGGTATCCACAGAGGATCCACATAGTGCAAACATTGCGTCTTATTGACCCGCATGAAGGCAATGATTTCGATTGCCTCTTTTTGTTGAGAATAACCATGCATAATGCACAGCATTTGGGCATTTTGTGGTCAGATAACACACATTTTGCCCCAAAAAGGAGTGAATAGGAAAAAGGAGTGAGCCCTAAGCGTGTCGCCTAGGGTATTACAGATCCCACTGTTATTTATAAATAAGCCTCTGGATTGTGATCATGTGATTGAATGGTGTTCGTTTACTGCTGAATTCCTTTTCGGCCCCTTTTTGTTAGAGTATAGTACTCCTCAAGGTCCTAAAAGACATACTATCATGGGTGCTTATTGCAAGCTATGTAGCAATAATTCAGTCCTGTTTTACAAGAAAGAGAATGATCAAAGAATAATGTCTCTATGCAAGATATGGCAGCATACATTTTGGCAGACAAATAAAGGAATTCCTTTGTGCTCTTTGGAGATAATTGGGTAGTTTCGCGACTTTTTCCGAATGCCTGACCTCCTAATTCTCTGAGCTTGAATCGCTGTGTCTTTTGGCGAAAGAGAGCTTTTCTGAAATTCATGTTTATGTAGAAAGCATAAAGCGTCTGCTTGAATTGAAAGGCGTCGTAACATAAAATGCTGCTACAATTCCTAAATCAAAACCTTCACATTACTGTTCAGTATGTTATAACGCGTTCTGGGCACATTTCTGGCACAAATGCTGATTGGTCCAAGTGCTCAACACGAGACTAATTCCGCCAACAACACACTGAACAAATACTGGGATTAAATAATTTTTTATGCTTCCGGTTTGTATCCCTCGTTCTTTATACGGACCTTTTCAATTGGTGGTCGACGTGAAATTTGAAATGCTAATTTTTATCGCAGCTTTCTTTTCTCGTCCATAAAACTCATATACAAAGTTTCGACGAAATACATCTAACAGAATGGACTCTGAGTAGGGTGAGTTTAATTATAACCACGATGTACTTATCTCATGTGTAGGTAGTATATGAATCAATCGCATAAGAGGCTGTTATGGTTAACCTTTTAATGGTTATAATAGCATTGGGAATAATTTTCAGAATACTGATACTAAAGCACTGCATGATATTCTGAGACGCAATTGGTGCGTTTCCTCATTTAGCTCACTGCGGAAAGATTTAGAGCTCTTCTTGAAAGCCGTTTGTTTATAATGATTAGAATGGAAAATTATTGTAAAAATGCTTCTTAATAAATTTAGATATAAATGCTCATCTGTTGATTTGTCAGTACACTAATAGAAAACTAACAATTCATTCGCTTCAACTAGCATATTAAAAACTTCATTTTACAAAATGAAAAAAATCATTTATTAAATACATTCAGTTACCTTCTGATATTCCAAATGAAGTTTCATTAAATGCCTATCGATTTAGCTCCTACAATGACGGAACATTATCATTAATGTCCATAAGAAGTCAAAGATAACGAATTTAAACAATAATAATTCATATTCAGAAGTTTGAAAATTAACGTAATAACTATGTGGTTTGTCTGTGACAACCGGATTGCATTATTTTTCAAAGGATGAAAGATGAAATATGTTATAAATTAAGATTTTCAGAATGTTATCTCACCAACAAAAGTAAATTATCAGCGTGCATTTCCTCAGAGCTGGAGTCTTAAACAAGTCGAAAACTGTTGTCTTCTGCTTCTCTTCTGACTGCAACAAAGCCACAGAGAATGGAGAATAAAATAATGAAATTTCTTTTATGAAATACTGTTCCATAAACCATTTAATTTCATAAACAAAAATTCTTAAAAAATCGTTTAAAAATTTATTACAAATTATGTAAATATATTTCTAAAGAAAACATGATATAGCTTGGCAACTCTTAGGAAAGGTAGTACAAGCGGAAGGTGTTATTAAGGGAATTAACACGAAGCTTTGGCAAAATATTAAAGCTGTGCTTATTTGCAGGCTTTGGTTAAGGAACAATCCAGTATGCAGGGTCGAAGAACTCGGTAGTTTATGACAATGATTTGGAAAACTTAAGCTCTTTAGAAGAAGAATTTTATAGCACTGTGCAAGCATTCATATCCAGTCATTGATATTCCAATTACAAGGTAAAATTATTTATAAAAGAAATACAAAAAACAATAATGCAATTTAAATGTCTGATAGGATTTTAATACGTGAGTAAGAAATACCTTTCATTGGGTGATCTCGACAGACTCCTTTCTGTATATCTACTTGCTTCTTATCATCCCTTACTAACAACCTTGGAAATGTTGTTGAATAACATTTAGTTAGAAAGCAGAGCAACACTTTTGCTTCCGAAATGCGTTCATTTCAGATTGCATGTTTTAATTGCCTGCTCTGAACTGTCTCTCTGTAAGCGGTTTGCATAGATTTCATTGCGTGTAAAGTTAATGGAAGCTAATTTTCTCCAGAAAGTCTTACATAAACTCATGCCCCTAAGGCTGATAATTTTTGCAGGATTGCTCAGTATTAGTTAATTAAACTAGTGCTCTTTTTGATTGCATTCAGTAAAACAAAACTTCTAGCAGAAATGCAGGGCTCAACAGCTTTGTGTGTTAAAGTACACCTGACAATAGTTGTGGACAATAAAACTGACACTCTTGAGAATTTGCGCGTTGTCAATCACGATAATTTTCAAGAAACTTATACAATACGAGTGTCAGGATCTGCCATAGTAGAACACGTTGAAACAATTGTCTTTAATAAACCAGTATAGAAATTCACAAGATACCCAGTCATTTATTTACAGGACACATTCGCAAAGGGAGAAGTACAATGATAGCATTCCAGATGCAAACAGTTCAAGATATTATCTAGATTAACTTGACTCTCAACTGCAAACGTCAGTTTTTACAATAATCAACAATATTTAATTCTATCTTACCACAATATGGGTACAGTCTATGACTTATCAAAGGATCGAATTGATTTCTAACATGCAAAACTTATATAATCATCTTATTTGAAATTTTTATCTGGATCTTAGCTGTTGCTGCGCCCCCAAATTTTCATACTGCTTTGCTCCCATCTTAGTACAGTACGAATGTTTCTTCCCGTTAAGCAAGACTGTGTTTTTCTAATCACTTTCTCTGCATCCAACATTTGCAAATATACGATACACCGAAGCAAACTAGTACTTTAGAAGAAGGCTGGAAGAAGATAAACATTTACTCAGCGACAAAAAAGAAAGAATAATCCTAATCAATAATATGCAGATCATTTCGTTCCAGTAACTCGTATTACAATATAGATATCTAAAAATTCTGAAAGATTTGTAGTTTGTTCTGAAAGATTTGTAGTCTACAAATTAAAAATGATTCGAATTCGGAAATTATGATAATTTTAATAATTTCTTTTAGTAAAAGTGCAACAAATTTAAAACTTTATGCAGACTTTCTATCAAGTATTTATTAGAAAAACGTTAAACTGTTACTCCTATTAATTAAAAGCCAGTTTTAACAACATATTCCTATTATGCAAAATTAGCCCTGGAAACAATTCGGAAAATCACAGTACATGAATAAATCACTTTCATCTGAAATAAAGCAAAAGCAATGAAATCGATTTTAGGATAACTAAATTTCATTAGAGAAAACAGAATTGAATGCTAGCATACCTGAACTAATGTCCAAACGTTAAGTAACAAGGGAAACAATTAGCATATTGAACAAGAGGAACACATTTATGTACATAATAGGTAGAGTTGAAGCAAGGCTGCTGTCTATGAGTTCAAAATTATAAAACAAGTAATAAAAGGTTTCTTAATTCAAGTGAAAAACCTTTGGAAGATAGTTACTTAGTAAGTCTAAGAAGTGCCAAGCCTGGGCAGGCTCACACTATTGAGGAGAACCTTATATTACCAACAGCTAAAGATGTCGTTTTAAGATTATTCAGCGAGAAAGCGGCTAATGAACTTTGTAGAGACATGTATTTTGTGGAAGCAGGCAAAATGGAAAATGAAAAACGCCTTCGCCGGGAATCAAACCGCAGACCTCTGGAATACGGGCCCAGCGTGCAGAACCACTACAACACGAAGGCACGTTAGGAAGGCGGAAGAAATACCTTATAATTTAATAATCCGTTATCAAATGATAGAGTAATTCCATAAAAGAAACATTTATTCAGAAAAATAAAATAGAGTGATAAATAAAATAAAATAAAATCTTTCGCATTTCAGTTGGATGGAAGTACCGATATAACAAATATTGTTCAATTATCAGTTTACATATGTTTCAAGGAAGGTAAATGAATATCCAGAGTATTTATTTTGTGAATCTCTTCATGATAGAGCAAATGCAAATGAAATTTTCAAAGTAATTGACAATTTTATTTATAAGAATGATAGTCCTTCGAATAAGTGCATAGCCGTATGCAGCGACGGAGCTCAGACTTTAACAGCAAAACATTCCGATGTTATTTCTCTAATAAACAAAATTGCATATGAAACTAAATTTACTCCCTGCCCCATTCATCAGGAAGCTTTAGCAGCCAAAAAACAATTCCTGAAAACCTGAAAATCATTTTGAATCAAGCTGTGAAAATTCTTCATTATATTAAAAGGTGAGCTTTAAATTTAAGAATTTTTAAGATTTAATGCTAAAGGTTGTGCAGTGAACATGAAACGGTTTTGTTACATTCCGAAATAAGGTACAAAACAAAGGGAAAACAATCCAGAGGCAAAGTTTTAAATCATCTTTTTTAACTTCTATCAGAAGTTCAAATCTTTCTCTGTGATTCAAAATTTGAATTGCAAAAATGTTTATTTAGTGAATTATGGTTAGTGCATTTAGCATTAACTGAAATTTTTGGAACACTAAATGAGTTAAATTTAGGATTACAAGGACAAAATGTTATTGTTTTACCATTAGAGATAAAATATATGCAATGATATAAAAAAACCTCAAGCTAATAATCAACAAATTGGATATTCTAAGCTTTTCACCACTTTTAGAAAGCTTTCTAACCGAAAATAGGTTGAAAGAAAAATTTCCATCCGACATTAAAAATCATTGTTTTTTATTGATAAATAATTTCAATATGTATTTTCCCGAGGATTATGAAAACGAAAATTGGATTAGAAAACCATTTTGTTCAAATGCTCCTGAAATTTTATGTAGAGAAGGAAAAAAGCAATTGATAGAAATTTCCTGTGATCGAAATCTAACTGAAGATTTCAAAAAAAAAAAAAAAAAAAAAAACCTTAATTTTTAGTTGAACCGAAAAAAAAAAAAAGAATTTAAAGGCATTTCAAATAAAGCAATTATATTTTGATTGCTTTTTTGCACAGCCGATTTGTGTGAACAAGAATTTTTTTCCATGTTATATTTGAAAAAAAAAAAAAAAAAAAAATGCAGAACAAAACGAAAAGTGTATCCTAAATTACGGTTAAAACTAAATACGATCAGGCGTAAAGAACTTGATCTCTCTTAAACAGGCCCAATTCGCACTAAATTTTAGAATTAAAATACTATAACTTAAATTTTGATAAGTAAATCAGTTACCAATTTTTAATCTAATATTTGTTTTTTATGTTTGCATACTTAATACAAGTAGCCAATAGGTTGTGCAAATGGCAATATATATTTGTGTATATACATTTATATTAATATTTCCGTTGAGAAATTGAAAAATAATCATTGTAAAATGTAGTGTTAGTACTAAACGTTTTTCAGTTTTTGTTTAGATGGTACTCGTTAATCCAAATGTTGAGAACCGTTGGTTTGGAGTCTAGAAATTGTTCGAATGTTGTCTATTTTCCTAAGGATCCCAGATCATCTCGAGGCGTTCTCATATACTTGGATATCATGTCTCTTATCGATAAATTCCAAAACAGCAGAAGTTGCTTTATTTCTAAAAACCCAGAAAAATCTAAACCTACCACATTCGTATAGACACGTGAACCTATGCAGCTCCCGAACTTTAAGTACTTGATCGAATCATATTATTACGACTCAGTTATCGCTTAACAGTCACCAAAGCTATGAATGAATGAATACAAGGAAATACGTATTCAAATCAGAGCTTTCTATGGAGCAAGCCATTAATGACTTGATCTCTTCCACAAAAAATTCCCCCTTCCAAACTTCGCACTTTTGTTGATGTCAAGGGTGTAGTTTATTCACTATGACATATTAGCTTACTACAAGTTCCCACAACATCATTGCAAACTATCTCGGCAAGTTAGTATGGATCATACGACTGCGAAGTCGTATGACTATGTTGAAGCGAAGTACATGTACAGAGTTAAAATAACAGCGGCTTTTTATTTCTAGGTTAAAACTAGTTACAGGACGCAAGCTGTTTGATAATTGGCAAGAACGCTGGGCGACAACGGATATAGGAATGAGAACTTTTTGCCTGATCGCAAAGGTTAACACAGACTTAAAAGTCCCTAACTCGACTCTTAACTCATGAAAGAGCATTTTCTAGCTATATATGTATATTTAAAACAAAGTGAGTCTGGAAAGATAGAGGACGCGGATACCTGTGTATTTAAATTCGCCCTGAACGGAGCACCTGACTATACGAGTGGATGAGAACTAGCCAACTTGGATTTTCAATAATGCAAAAAAATGAATATGTTATATGCTTACTGATTACTCTGAACTGCACTGCTGTCAAATTACGCCTTTTAATGTTTATAATGCCTTTGTAACTACTCGCATTCATAACGTGTTATTCGTATTATCTCCGTATTATCTATATCTGTGCATTGCATTTAATGCTGTACAACAGTATACGGTTTTGCTTATAAATTGGCTTTCGACATCAATACTGTGAAAGAAAATGTTTGTTTCCTGTATATATTTCTATCCCTTCTTGTATTCTACTTGCAACTGCACAATGTATAAGGTATTTCTCCTGCCTTCTTAGCATGTTTTCGTACTGTAGTAATCAGACAGTCGACGCGTATTCGAGAAGTCCATGGTTCGGGTCCCGGCGAGGGCATTACTCATTTTTTTTATCTTTCTTGCTTCGAAATAACCTAATGTCTCTACAGTGGCACCCGAACTAAAGGGGTGGTGGATGATAATTCTCCACCACCAGGCTCCTTTAATCCCCAGTCGCTCTTTAAAAGAGAGAGTACATAAAGTGTTTCTCCCGCCATCTTAGCATGCCTTCGAAGTTTAATGGTCAGTATGCTCGGCGCGTATTCGAGAGGTCCGTGGTTCGAGTCCCGGTGAGGGCATTGCACATTTTTCATCTCTCCTGTTTCGAAATAACCTAGTATCTCTGTACAGTGGCACCCGAACTAAAAAAAGTGGTCAATGATTATTCTTCGCCATCAGGATTTGGCGATTGGATCCCCTAAACCCCAGTCGCTCTATAAAATACGGAGTATATAAGATATTTCTCCCGCCTTCTTAGCATATTTTCGTGGTGTAGGGGTCAGCACACTCGACGCGTATTCGAGAGGTCCGTGGTACAAGTCCCGGCAAGGGCATTGCTCATTTTTCATCTTTCTTGCTTCTTTTGTTTAACATGTCATTTACTTCAGTATCATTTACTCGATGCGTTAGTACTGCTTCTGTTACAGTCTGCTTTGCACATTCGATTATTTCTCTGCTTACATCAGTTATATCATTTGATATTTTTCGACATATTTTTATTGTACCTATTATTTTGTGCATTGCTACTTGTTAAGTTGCTTTGCACCTTGGAACATATTAGAATGTCTTGATATGTGCACATATCCTGTACAATAATAGTTGTTGAACAAATCCACAGGCAACTTTTATGCCTGCCTGATCCACCACTTTGGTTTTGGCCGCAGGTTTTGTATTTAAAAGAATCTACTGCTGGTGGGGTATGTCAGCTCAGACACTGGTAAGCTGGCCAGCTAATGGAGTAAGTGGGTATTTTCTTTCAAAACTGGAGCGGAGTTGCAGAATGTAATAACATTGGGACTGTACTTGTACGATCAATTGCGAAATTTTGGTGTTCCTGTTACTTGTACCTGTACCTGCCGTACCGAAGAACTCAGGTTCGAATTCCGTAGAGGATGTGGATATTTTTAAGCGTATAGTGCCTGTGCATTCAAATATACAGCTAGCCGAAATCCTTTCGAAATGGTGGTAAGGTAAGGAAAGTGGGAGGCGCTCGGACATCTCGTCAGGGGGTTCGTTCTTGAAGTCTAAATTAGCAGGGCTTAAGCTTAACAGTTAGCAAGGCCGGCGATACCTGATATGCTTAGGAGAATGTAAAAATGTTTGCCTTCTTTCAATCTGCACCTGTTGCCTTAAACAATGCTTTTAGATTTTACAAATATTTTCATAAATATTAAAATATCATTTTCTGTACAACCTTATCAGAAGGAATGTAGACCATTTCCTTGAATCAGACATTCTTACATATAAAATAAAATAAAAGTCAAACTGCATTTTATACAGAAAAAAACAATAAATATCCTATTGTTTACCTTTGTCTTTTGGCTAAGGAATACCTCCAGGGCAGCTTTAGTTGCATTTATGTCTTTTTTATTCCTTTTGGCTGCCCGCAGCAAAATTTCCTTTGCTTTATCTATCTTGCCCTGCGCCAACAGCCAGCTTGGGGTGTCCGGAACCACCCTCGAAGATAAAAGAGCTTGAAATAATGTTGGAGAATAAAAAAAACTTAAAGAAAGGTTTCTAAATCATGGACGGTTTCAAAAAGTAAATTTAACAGCCAAAACTCTCTTTAAAAATAATAGGAGAGCGTAAACGTTTGCCGTAATAAACGTGAACCGAATAGTCGGTTGTAAACGTACAGTTCTAGCTTAAGAAATAATGGTAGGTCTTGCAATCTACGATGACTTATGCCATCTGACACTTCTAGTAAAATATACAAAGTTTAAATTTTTAATAGCTTTACTATGGAAAAGATAGCATAAGTTCAACATGATTATAAGAAACTTATTTACCACAGTGGAATTGTTCAAATAAAAATAATCCCTTTTACCGTTAATTAAAATTAGGTATCATCAACTAAAATCGGGGCTCACCAGCGGCCGAGCGGTAAAGTCGCTGAACACTAGTAGTTCGGCCCGAGGTTCGAATTCCACGAACGGGCTGGCTGCATGGGCGTTTTCGTGGTTTCCCCATGTGTTATACGAGCCAGTTTCCCTTAGAAAGTCCTCCACGAAGACATCCCTCCTCTTAGGCAGATAGCCCTCGAGGCTTTGCCATAATCACACACAAACACACAACTAAAATCGTTGGAGCTGGATGAAGTTATGGTTAAATATCAAAAATGAGTACGCGTATATAAAATTTCAGAATACGAATATCTAAAAGATTATACATACTGCAGTTTGGAAACCTCAGATACCTCGAATTTGTTTAAGACCTCGAAGAGATTATCATTAAAACTTCGCAAATTAAATGATACTTTTAATTAAAAGTACGAAAATCAGGCGATTTAAAAGAAACTGGATTCAGATCTGTGTATTCAAATTTCTATTTAGTACCTGAAACTGTTTGAAGCAAAGTTGTTAAGATAAACCTATTACTTAAGCACTCGTTCTCAGAAATTATAGATATAGAAATCGAAATCGAAATCGAGTCAATGCCTAGGCGGCAATTAGTAGCCAACCGCTACTTTAACCGTCTCTGTTGGTAAATTGCCCTAAGGCGTTGGTACTTAAGTTTTTAATTAAGGCGATTTACGCCGCGCCAACTAGGCGAAACTTGTAAAATTTTGTGAAATGCAGGTGAAGTAGAGGGAGATGATTGGAAGGAGCCTGTCACGTGGGTGGTCACCCACCCAAGTTCAGACTCCGAGCAAAGCAGCTTACGCGTGCAATGAGAAATATTGGATATATTAATAATTATCAAGTTTTGAAACAGGTTATCCAGATTGGAATTATTAAACTAATATCGCGATCTACAGATTAGCTAAACAAAATATTCAAATTCATCCTTGCTGTAAAACACAGATTGGACAGTGGTAGTCACGTGGGGGTCACCCTCCCGTGAACTGTCCACAGCCAATGCATCTTGAAATAGTAGATATCACAATGCAGTGAAGTCTTGGTCTGAGAAATTAAACACTAAAGTTCTTGTACAACACTGAGGCACTTGAGTTACTGAAACTATAAACTATGTACATATAGGGACGGCGGTATTTGAGCGAAGTAGCAAATGGTGAAAAACATTTTACACTAGCAATAAATAATCAGAGCTTTGAAGATAGAGGTACACGGATCATGTCCATATGTCCACAATATTACAAAGTCTCTGATATAACAATAAGAAGATTTCGAAAAATGACAAATATAAGATCAGTGCTTTGAAGATCCAGGTACGCGGATCATGTCCATAAGTCTGTAAAGTTTCAAAGACACTGGTAAAATGACACAATGAAGATAAAATAAAGATAATAGTACTATGTACAATATATACACATTTCACCATTTGCTGTTATGGAAGATGCCTCTTGGGCGCTTTGCTGCAATTTCTATAGTAGGATCATAATTTATCAGATCACGGATATGTTCGTATTGAGAAAGTTCTATTTTAGCATAGAAATTGTGGCTCGTGGTGAGAATTTGATCAGCTATGGGTCTTATTTTTAGTTCTTTATGTATCTGCAGGTTACGTACGAACCATGGGGAGTCAACAATTTGTCTGAGTATTTTGTTCTGAAAGACCTGTAGTTTGTGTCTATAAGTCTTGTACACAGTGGCCCAGATAGGCACTGCATAAAGTAGGGTGGGTCTTATTAAGCTGGTATAGATCTTCTTCTTGAGACTGATATTTAATTTAGCATTTCTTCTTATTAAAGGGTAAAGAGACATTTTAGCAGCGGTGGCTTTGCGCAAGGCATACTCCGTGTGTTCTTTGAATAACAGCTGTGAGTCGAAGACCACTCCTAGATACTTGGTACTTGAAACAATTGCTAGGGCTTGATCATTAATTTTTATATTTACATTCACAGGAGTGAACTTCCGATGACGTCTGAAAAGGAGAATTTGGCTCTTTGACGGATTTACTTTTAATTTCCATGAATCATAATAGTGTGCTATGATATTTACTGCGCTTTCAAGTTTATCTACAGCGAGCTGAGGTTTTAGCGACTTGGTTAAAATTGCTGTGTCGTCGGCATATTTCACTACTTTTGCATTCAAAGGAACCGGCATATCATTCGTGTAGATATTAAACAGAAGCGGTCCCAGAACGCTTCCTTGAGCCACTCCGCTTTTAATTCTTTTTCTTGAAGAGAGAGAGTCATTAATTTTTACCTGAAAGGTCCTGTTTTTAAGATAGCTTTTCATGAGCTTAATAAAACTGATGGGCAGATGAACAAGGTGCAGCTTGTAGAGGAGACCCTCATGCCACACCTTGTCAAATGCTTTTTCTAGATCTAGAAAGCAGCTGGCGATTGTGTTCTTTTTGCGAAGGAGTCTGCAATAAATTCTGTAACGTTCAGTAGTTGGTGCACGGTACTATGACCGGCTCTAAAACCAAACTGCTCTTTAGATGTAATTTTTTTATCCTCTAGATGTTGAGTTAATCTCTTTTGGAGCACACGCTCAAATACCTTTCCCAAACTGGGGAGAAGGCTGATCGGACGGTAGGAGTTTAAGTCCTTTGGGTTTTCCCCGGCTTGACAAACGTAATTATCTGCGCGTGCTTCCACTGTTGCGGAAAGTAATTGAGCCTCATACAAGCATTGACTATGTTTGTAATGAGGACTATGTAGGTTCTTGGCAGAGCTTTGAGAACCATATTGGTGATGCTATCGTAGCCGGGAGCTTTCCTGGACTTTAAGTTGCTAATTCTATTACTTATTTCTGTTGGAGAAGTTGGGTTGAAGTGATTATTACAATTTCTGTCAGCTAGGTGGTTAATGAAATTATCGACTTCTTCATCTGTCTCATCATTATTAGAGGCATGATTGGTGAAAGTCTTTTCTAGATGCTGCGCAAGGGCTTCAGCCATGTCATGTTCAGAATAAGCAATTCCACTACTGGTGTGGAAAAATCCCCCAAATCATTTATGTATCGCCGTTAGAGGGCGCTTCGCTTCTGAAAAGGAATGTTAGTTTTTAGTTTGCGACGTAGTTAGTTAGCAGTGAACCTTCGATGCAACGAAAGTTGCTTTGTAAATAAAATGATTATTTTTGTAGATTGTTGAAATATTTCACTTCATTTAGAATTAGAACCACCTTTCGCAATATGGCGCATCGGTGCCGAGAACCTTTGGCCAATTTAGAAGTTTGTGTTTTTTAATTTTGGATATCATTTTATGCGAAGACAGCCAAGGTAAGCCTGTATTTTCTATTTTTATATAATATGGAAGATCTTATTGCTAAAACTGAAATCGAAACGAAAGGTATTGAGGACCGGAGTGTCCAAGATATTAAAGAAAATTGAAACCGAACTGAATAAAGATGATAGTAGTATAAATGTAAATGTATTGGAAGAAATTTTAGACCAGTTAAACGAAAAATCAAAATCCTTGAGCAATTTAGACGCTGAAATAGAACGAGAATTAAAAGTCGGAGAAGACGAATTTGAACTTGAAATCTCATCCGCTTTGGAATATGAAGAAGACAGGGACGTTACACGATTCTTTTGGAAAGATGATCCTAATGATAACAATGAGAGTTTGAAAATCTTTAGATTTACAAGAGTTTTGTTTGGAGTAAAATCTAGTCCCTTTCTTCTCGCTGCTACTATTAAGCATCACCTTAAAAAATATTCAGAAATATATCCTGAAACAGTAGAACTCTTAACAACTGCCTGTATGTTGATGACATTATTGGTGGTCAACAAAATTTAGAACAAGCCCTGAAAACAAGTTTAGAAATTGTGAACATTTTTAATGAAGCTAGCATGTCACTACATAAGTGGCATACTAATTCCAAAGAACTCAAAGGTATTTGGCATCGCAAAGAATTTTCGATGCAAGAATCTCCTGAAGTTGTCCCAATTAAAGTGTTAGGAATTAACTGGGATACGGATAATGATAATTTTTATTTTGACACTCAGCACTTGACAAATTTCATTTCCTCGTCAATCAACTCAAAACGTTTTCTATTGCAAACCGCAGGCCGTATTTTTGATCCTGTCGGATTTTATGGCCCTTTCACTATAAGAATAAAGTGTCTGATTCAGGAAATCTGGTCTGCCAAAATTGATTGGGACGATGAACTGCCACCTGATCTTAGTTGTAAATGGAAAGCCTGGTACGAAGAAATTGAAGAACTGAACCACCTCAGAATTCCCTGCTACTATTTAGAAGGAATATTAGATGCAGATGTGAAACAAATAGAACTCCATAGCTTTTCTGATGCTAGTTTGAAAGCTTATGGATGCGTGGTATATCTGAGAATAGTTTTGAACAATGGAACTTTTCAAACAGTTTTTGTTGCTTCCAAGAGTAGAGTTGCACCTCTGAAATCCCTTACACTTCCTAGATTGGAGCTTTTGGGTGCGCTTTTATCCGCTAGATTGAGTGATGAAATAGCAAAATCTTTAAAATACGAAGTAATCCCCTTCCACTGGACTGATTCTCAAATAACGTATTTTTGGATTCAGGGATCTCCCGAAAGATTTAAATCTTTCATCAAAAACAGAGTTTATGAA